TCAAAAAAATTTATGATGTTAAAATAAGCCATGCAACAAAGAAATTCTTTTTATTAGGTAGTTTTGAGTCAGATAATTTAATAAAAAAAACAGTATGTGTGTCATGGATTTAAATTTTTACAAAGTTGTCACAAAATATTGTTTAATATTTTGTGAACTTATAAATTTGTTACTTGTTATTTTCATTACATAACAGTTATGTCATTTGCATTGTTATTTACATTAATAGTTATGTCATTATATTACACAATATTATGTAGTCTTTTTATTATTGATTGTTTTATTGTAATAAAATGGTGATTATCTTATCAATAAAAGAAGTAATAAGACGACAAATGTACATAATAATATCCAATAAATATTACCTTGTTAAATTATATAACTAACTATAAATATATTTAGTTATAATCTACTTTCACCCTAATTTTTGGTAGATAATTAGTAGAGAGTTGAAAAAATTAGTAGATAATTAGGTATTTAAAATGTCTATTAAAACTAATAGCTATTTGTTCAAGCAATATGTTCTTTATAAATATAACTTTAATTTTTATTTAAACATATTGTTTGTGTTCAAGTGTACTTTGCTCATTAGGAATATTGTATTTAAGATTTCTTGTATTTAAGTGTTTAAATTCTAACTCCTCATTATAGTTTTATATGTATAACAAAACCAACTGCCCTTTCGTTATACTGCCCTTTCGTGACACTATAGAGACATAACCTTTTATTTAGTTTCGGTAAAAATTTGTAATTATAACTCACTTATTATTTAAAATTCATTTGATAATGGTGAAATTCCAAGCTTGTGGTCTGAAGTAAATGTAATGCCTTTATACAAGAAACGTTCCAGAAACAACCCAGCAAACTTCAGAGCAATTTCTCTCACCTCAAATCTATGTAAAATAATGGAGAAGTTTGTCAAGAGAGCAATCTTTGCTGCATATAAAATCAAACATTTTTTTTTTTAATTTTTACAGCTTTGTAGAGGAAAAAGCATCACAAATTTGCTACACATCAACAAATGCTCAACAATCTAAAAATGTAAACAATCAAAGGTAATCTTCTCAATCAGATACAAGTATTTCTAACCAACAGGTCTAATGAGTCACTCTTAATGATATTTTCCAAGGATCAGTCTTGGGGTTAATCTTACTCATTATTTTCATCAACAACCTGTCAGATGTAATAAGGAAAAAATAGCACAAGCAAAATCTATGCCAATGATACTAAAATTGTCAACCCACTTGCCACTCAACTTTGACTCCAATCAGTCAAATTGTTAACTCAACTATGTCTCAAGTCTTGGCTTGTGGAATTAAACATGAAGAAATGCACAATTTGGACCAAAAAAATTGGTTCCCTTTAAGTACTTAATGGAAGAAATGAATCCTAATTCAATAATGATTTGAAACAAACACCTGTGAAGGTGACTTTAAAATTGAAATTACTAATAACCTCAAAGTAGAAAGCCAATCTATAATTACTTCAAATAAAGCAAATTAAATGTTTGGTAACAACACACCTTCTAATGTTGTAATGCTTAATTCTACTCCAACTATGTCCACCCTCTACTTGAGTTTGAAAAACCAGCTTAGAACCATCATTTGGTGTAAGATAAGCAAATTATTGAGCAAATATGGAACAGAGCCACAAAGATACTGCAAAAACTAAAAAAAACTAAGCTACAACTCTAGATTTGCCTTACATCTTTAGTTAACTGCTGCAAACGAGGTGACCTCAAACAAAAGTTCAAGATTGGAAGTAAAATCGACTAGCTCTTTCCCCTTATTAAAATTCTGCCAAGAGTTCATCACAGAAAGAGATTTCACCAGGAAAAATAAGATTTAGCTCATTTCAAAACTTTCAACAACTGCATTGCCAAGGCATGAAACAGCTTGACAGATAATGTAATCTACTCTTCATCCATCAACAGTTTCAAAGTAAGCCTTGATAGATCCTAAAGTTACACGATGTCATATACTAAAGCTCTTATGTTACAATGATGTCATATGCTGAAGCTGTTATAAATTAAACGCACATGAAATAAATTGTCAAGTCTGCAGGTTGCGGCATATATTATAAAGACTCAGAGAACCAAGAAGAAATGGCAAAGGCAAGCTTTGACTAAAACAACAATTTTAATTTTATTGATATGCCTTTGTTATTTAGTTTTAATCAAAACAATATAGCATAAAATGTTTCTTCTTCAAACAATTTCTTTAATATGAATACAACTTGTCTTGGCACTTAGGAATCCTTTTAAATACAAATAACCACAAGTATTTACAAATAACCACAAACACCTACTAAAGCTAATTTAGAGAAAAGATAAATAAATTTTCAATTTCATTCTTTTGGTGAAGCAATGCAAAAACTTGATGCAAGCTGATCCAAGACCAAAAGTTAAAAAAATTGCAAATAATGTAAAATGAGTAACTTGAACATAAAAATTATCACATAAAAATTATTTAATTTTGTACTTTTAATGGGTAACAACTAAAAAACGAGACTGGATTTAAAGACACATATCTCTTTAAAGACATAAGATAAAACAAAAAGGAAAAATGTTCTAGAAAGTATTTTTATTCTAGTTTTTATATATATAACCAGTTATTCTCAATTAAACCATTTCTTCTGACTTTATCAACTAGGCCTGGTATAGACTGAGCTATGAGTTCAATATCAATTATATTAAGGCAATACTTGATTCTAGAACGTAATTTTTAAAGATTTTCTGCATGCCAATTATTTTTTTGAAAATACTCCAAAAATTTTCGATAGGGCGACATTCTGGCAAGTTTGCAGGGTTATTCTCTTTCTCAACATAATGCACGTTTTCTTTGTTTAGGTACATGATTACTGTTTTTGCATAGTGAGATGATGCTAAATCTGGCCAGAATACATATGCACCATCTGAATGATATAATAATGATGAATGGAATAAGTCTCTTCTTAATACATTTGTTTGAATAGATTTTTTGATTTACAGCCAGTCCACTTGGTACAAAATAAGGTTGAGAAATTCCATTTTCAGAAAAAAGCAATCCATAGAAGTATTTTCTTTTGAAACTTTTGTTTTGTTTGGTATTTAACTGTAGAAGGAGTAGATTTTACATCACTAGTATAAAACATATCATTTCCATTGATACTGGAGTGATTTATTGTGAAATAAAACTCATCGTCAATGATTGGTTTACAATTTTTAAATTTCTGACACAATTGACTGCACTTAGTTTTAGCTACTGTTTTTTGCTTGTCAGAGCGTTTTGGAATCGTTGTTTTTTTTCTTGATTTAATATTTGTTCTTTTTTTAATGTTTTACTAATGTGTTGCTGAGTACAGTTAAACTTTTTAGCTGCCTGTTGTAGAGAAACTCTGCCTTTATGGTCAAACACGAGCCTTTCAATGTTTGTCCTGGTCATTTTTTTAGCTTTTACTCCACTTTCTTGAACTCAGATTCACTTTCAGCACATTTAATTATCTTGTAGATAGTACTTTTAGGTATATTCTCAACTTTAAAGTGGTCATAAGTGGACTTTTTACCAGCATTTTTGTAATTTAAATAAAATTCATACACTTGTTTTCTAATCTCTTCTTGTTTTGAATTTATTTTTTTATTCATTTTTCTATTTTAATATATAATTTTTCTAAATATTTAAAAACTAGTATAAAAATACCTTCTAAAATAGTTTTCCTATTTTTAAAATCTTATTCCTTTAAGGAGATATGTGTCTTTAAATCCAGTCTCGTTTTTTAGTTGTCACCCATTACAATACAGTTACAAAATAAACAGTAGGGTGGGTCAAAAAAATTTTTTTTAAAAGTTGATAACCTGGCTATGGTTTAGAAAGTTGCTTTCTTATGTACAAATTTAGGAAAGTATTTACTTTTATGGATTGAACAATGTCTTCCACCTGCAACTTTTATTACAAAAATTAGCAAGCCCTATTATTATTCAAAAAACTTTTTTTTTCAAAAATATGTGATGTTCAAATAAAGCGAAATTTTATAAAAATTTCAAAAATATTAATTTTCTCATATAAAAATTATTATTTTAGATTTTATTTCATAATAACTATGGTTTTTTTAACTAAAAATGAAAAAAGTGCATTTTTACAAGTTTTTTAATAACATTTTCGGCAATGTAATTTTTATAAAACGATTATTATTTTGGAATTTTTTATAAAATTTTGCTTTTTTTGAGTACCAGGTTGACCTACTTTTGAAAAACTTTTTTTCTCCAAAATATTTCGGAACTGGTAATTTTCCCAATAAAATTGCGTCCTTTAAATCTATCACAACCATTCTCATATTTAATAGTATCAATATTAATAACTATACACAATGTTTAGAGCCTGTAACAAGAAAAAAAAATTGTATGACCCACCCTAATAAACAGGTCTTGGTATTAAAGGTGTTGAATGTGATATTTAAAAGTTTATTATGTGGTGAGCCTCTATCATTGGGTGTCAAAACTTCTGCAGGATAATTTATTCATTCTTTGCTTGCCAGAAATTCTAACAAAACTAATTATTTATGGTTAAAAGGACCCCAAACCTCCGAGACATATTGTGTTCATATTTTTTTGATTAAAACAAAAGAATAAACGCATAACAAGAAAAACTAAGTTTTTTTATTTTAATCAAAGCTCGCCAGCTCCATTTTGTTGAAGGCATAATACACGCCGCAATCTACAGACTTGATAATTTATTTAAGCGCATTTTATTTCTAAGAGTTTCAGTACATGACATCATTGATTTTTTTTGTTTGTGTAAGAGATTGATTTTATACACTAACAAAAAAGTCAATGACATATATTTTTTATTATTTAAAAATTATAAATATTATAATTATAAATTAAAGAAATAAATGAAAAAGAATAACATAATAAATTTTAAATTAATTTTAGCTAAAAGCTGATTCTTATTTAAAACATGTAAATAAAACAAATAAAAACAAACTGCATTTTAAGACTCAAAACTTTTATGTGCAAATCATACCTTGGAGATATATTGACTTCTAACAACCATGGTTTCAAATTGCTGTCTAAAATTATGTCAAATCCAAAAAGCTCATGACAATTGTATCTAGCAAATGATTTTAAATGAATTATTTTCTGCAATATCTAAAACAACAACAACAACAAGAACAAAAAGACAACATAACTCTGTTACACACCGACTTTTGGTGTTTCTTCTTGCTTGACTATTCACTAAGTATTCACCACTGTTAAAATAATATAGTTAACAAATATTGTTAAAAAAAATCTAGCAATTAAAATAAACAATCGTTATTAAAAAGAATTAAGAAAACAAAAAACTATAACTGATATACTAAAATAGAAATAAATAAAAATGGGAATAAAAAAAATTGAAGAGGATAATGTTTTTTACAATCAATAAAAAATTATTGAACTATTAACATAAATTTACTATTGAGGGAAATGAAGTTTTTTTTTAGTTTCAAGAAAGTTTACATTATTGGATTTTTACCCTTTTAACTTTCACCAATTCATGTGATAAGTGTGAAAAATTTCAGGCACAAATTAAACCAGCTGAACCTATTAATGATGTGATTCTTGTAAATAAACTGAAATTTCAACATGAGCTTCACTTAAATAAAGCAGATGTATTTAATATGCAAATCAACAAAACTAAGCAAAGACACTGCAGTGATCTGTTTAGATTTTGGAAAAAAATTTACCACTTCCTCTAACTGGAATTGGACAAGAGTATTATAAGCGTCAACTTTGGATTCACAATCTGTACATTCATGACAATATAAATGAATCTGCTTACATGTATCTATATGCTGAACATTTTGCAGCCAAGGGCCCAAATGAAGTCATTTCATGTCTGGACCATTACATTTCTGGTCTTCTGGCTACAACTATAAAAGTTATAATTTTCATGGATAACTGTTTTTCACAGAATAAAAACCGTTACATCTTTGCCTACCTACAAAGATTGGTAAATAAGAATTTTTCTTTAATACAAGCTTATGTAAAGTATCCCCTTCCAGAACATAGCCGAATGCCATATGATCAGAATTTTGGGCGCATTAAAAAATGGAGAAGAAAAAAAGATAGGGTAATTTTACCTTCACAGTGGGTATCACTTGTAAAGAATACAGATACCAGAAAACAAATTAATGTTATGTATGTGGAACATCCTTTTACCAACAACATGATTGAAGATGGAACCCCAGTTGTTTAAGTACTTGACTTTAAAAGAGCTTACGACCCCTTGATAAAACCAGTAACTGGAATTAGTGAGTTCAGAGGAGCAAAATTTGAACGAGTAAATGATTTTAAAGGAATGATTTTAAAGGAATTATTTTCTGCAATATCTAAAACAACAACAACAACAAGAACAAAAAGAAAACATAATTCTGTTACACACTGACTTTTGGTGTTTCTTCTTGCTTGACTATTCACTAAGTATTCACCACTGTTAAAATAATATAGTTAACAAATATTGTTAAAAAAAATCTAAATATTAACCAAGGTACCACTAAGTAGAACTTCAATGACAGGAGAATGTTCTGTTGTGATAAAAACTTTCAAACGTGGTAAAAAACTTTTAACTCTCATTTCACTCAAAAATAGAGCTTGCGTAAATTTTTTGCCTGTCAAAACTGCCAAATTTCATGACATTTATGGACTTTTAAACATGTCAATTTTCCAGAAGGAGTTATTCTTTATATTAATATTCATGGCATAGAAATGGATGGAAACACGAGTGACATTAAAAACATAGAATAGACTTATTTCTTTATAGTAATAATATATGTTGAAAAATTACATTAGTTCAGTGTTTCTTTTTGGTGCAAATAGTACCTAAGTCTAGTAATAGGACAAAAAGTACTTAGTCCTAAAAATAAAATACACATATCTTCTAAAAGATGAGGGTTTAAGATTTAAAATAAGCAGGTATATTCATTATAATAATGAAAAGATTTAGCAGTTATCAGAAATCTATTGACATGTCTTGCCTGATTTCAAAATTGAATATTCAAACTGCTTTATTTGCTATATTCAAACTGCTTTATTTGCTATATTCAAACTGCTTTATCTCAGAATGAGCATTTTGTGACTTAAGTACTTTTAGCACTAAGTTCTTCGATTTAAGTTTGATATATATATATATATATATATATATATATATATATATATATATATATATATATATATATATATATATATATATATATATATAATTTATATATATATATATATATATATATATATATATATATATATATATATATATAATATATATATATGTATAATATATATATATAAAATATAAATCAGGCCTTGCCATGAAGCGGGAGCGATCGCTCCTGTCACGTGAAACACGCTCGTTAATGGAATATTTATAAAATGCGTACACAATAAAAAACACTCGCTAATTTAGTTACGAGAGTAAAGAATCGCTCCTCCTAAAAATTTAAGAGGGAGAAAACTAATAATGGTTTACTTGATTTTATATTAAATTTTTTATTAAAGATTTATTAAAGAGTTTAATTAAACAAAAAAGTTTGTTTATTATTAAAAACAAAATAATCTCTATTCAAATATCTTCAATTACATTTTTTTAACTGAGGTAAATGTTAAAATTATACTTCAATTAAAAAACTCTTTTCAGAATGATGTAAGTTAATATAAAAAATTTTTTAATGTTAACTTACGTCATTCTGTTGATATTAGAGACACCCATATCCAAAAATAAAAGATCCCTCTCGATAACCTAATGACGAGCGCTCATAATCGTGCTCGCTAAAGAAATATTTGAGTTTTATGGGCGCACTGGATAATTTTTTTCATGCCAAAGCCTGATAGATATAATATATATATATATATATATATATATATATATATATATATATATATATATATATATATATATATATATATATATATACATTATATATATATATATATATATATAATGTACATATATATATAATGTATATATAATAGCAGATTATTTTCAAAAATGTTGTTTTTTGGGACACCCTAATATATATATATATATATATATATATATATATATATATATATATATATATATATATATATATATATATATATATATATATATATATATATATATATATATATAAGGGTGTCCCAAAAACAACATTTTTGAAAATAATCTGCTCTCACCTTCTAAATGTGTCTAAGGTAAAAACACTAGGTTTAAATTTTTTTCGAATAAAAAATATTTTAAGGGGTCCCTCAAGACCCTCGAATATTTAATGGGTCCCTAATATTTTCGAAAAAAAGTATTTCAAAAAAATGTCAACCTGGTACTCAAATGAAGCGAAATTATATAAATATTTTAAAAATAATATTCATTTCAAAACAAAATTGTTATTTTTGGTTTTATTACATAAAAAATTGCGTTTTTAAAGAAAAAATGAAAAAAAATGCATTTCTAATGTTTTAATAGCCTGCTGCTGGGGGCTTCAATACATACATTGACTGACAAATAACCTGATGCGCAGTGGAGTGCTGCTACATCGACTGAGGGTTTGGGATGGGGAAGCAATCGTTTCATTCATCATTCTTCGTTTTTGTTCTTCTTTTACTAAAAAAACGGTATAGCTTAAGGTAAGCAGAAAAAGTGTGCAAGTGCTTATCAAAACATGCTTTAGTAAGTGTATATATATATATATATATATATATATATATATATATATATATATATATATATATATATATATATATATATATATATATATATATATATACAACCCTTAGAATTAAGGTCCGCATTCGGCAATGCCAACCTAAAAGACTTTGAGATCGACAAAAAATTGTCAACCTCGTTTCTATGTTTTATGGTCAGACCTTTTGCCGACCTCATTTTTGCTAATTCCGAGGGTTGTGTATATATATATATATATATATATATATATATATATATATATATATATATATATATATATATTATATATATATATATATATATATATATATATATATATATATATATATATATATATATATATATATATATATATATATATACTTATTTATAATTCAAACAACTATCAAACCATATAATTGTTTTGACAGCAATATCTTTTATTTCTTCCCAAATATGCACAGTTTTTAATCCAATGCTATGTAAATAGGCCCACAACTCTTTTAATGACCTAAAATAAAAAATAGTTTAAGCAGGTATAATGAAAAAAACAAGGAGTTTAAGCAGGTATAATGAAAAAAACAAGGAGTTTAAGCAGGTATAATGAAAAATGTAAAATTGAACAACTTGTATTTTTAGTTTTTAGGAACTATCTTTTAAAAGGAAAATTATAAATATTTTTTTTTACAGTATTGCATAGTGTTTTTCCCTCAATCATATGGTTTAAAAAATACTTGATGTTTAATTTTAAAATTTTAACGAGTTAAAAAGACTTACTTTGAGAAAATTATTTTAAATATTATTCACTATCCGACTCCTAGTTATGGAAAAAAAAAACTTTTAGAGTTTTCCTTTTTTTAGAATTGAATTTGCTTGTTCCAGAATAAAGTTATGAAAAAAAAAAAAAAAAATTGAAATAAAACGAGTTTTTATTGGAACACATTTATTTTATACAGTTAATTATTTTACACCCATTTATTAAATTACGCATCTACTCTTTATACAAAAATGAGTAGTAAAAACAGTTAATCGCTTTATCTCAGTCAATTAAAAAAGATTTACACAATGATAAATAAAAAAACAAGAGGTTACATTAACAAACAACATAATGCTGTAATTTCAAAATTTGGTGACTTATTATCATTATGTTCTTTCATAATTCATCATTTATGTATGGCAATCCAAAGATAATTTTATCATTCAGGATAAGCAACTCTTCCTGTTCTATTGGTATTGGCACAGTCACCACTTAAAAAAAATGCAAAAATATGCATCAAAGGGCTAGACCGAGCTGTCAAACCCAAGTGAAATAAGAAAAATATTAGGAAGAGAGAAAGGATAAAAAAATTTATTGAACAGATGTTCAGAACAAAACAAAGACATCAGAGTAAAGTGTGTAATAAAAAATAATAATGATAATTTAGACACTGCGCATGTAATAGAAATAAAAAACTCAGACTTTTAATGAAAAACCATGACCAACCCGCAAGGTCTAAAAGAAATATAAAGTACAAAACTTAATGTGACACGCTCAGAGCAGAAATTTATTTTGTTATACTTGGTGCTTTATCCATCTATATAAAAGTAACCATAAATCTTCAGTAAATACAAAGGTTTAACATACTTTACAACACATGATGAAAGCACATACATATGATGAAAGGCATAAATTTATCAACATTTAAAATGACAGTAACAATAAGATAAAGAAAAAACATTATTGCTTTTGTGTAATCATAATTTATGTAGTGGTGGTAATAAAGTTCTCCTCAGAATCATGTTTATATAGGCTTTTATTACTGGCTTTTCAAAGAGGCTCAGCACCAATACCTAGTTTATCCTGCCAGATAAACATCATTGGCATTTATGCTTTACTCCGCAAATTCCGCCTATTCCATACTACAGTAAAAAAAGACTTCACTAAAATCAGCCAAAACCCTAATTTCACCCAAATTTGTAAAGCACTAATCTTTTTGAAGAAATGATATGGATAGTGAGAGAGGTGAATTCAATACCAAATAATTTAAAATAATTTATATATATATATATATATATATATATATATATATATATATATATATATATATATATATATATATATCCAGAAAATATCCTGAAAATACTTTCTTTTATATTCCTCTTAATTTTGCTTTTAGCTGAGTTGTTTTCAATTTTTTTTAACTTTGCTTAATCTTTGTATGAGTAATGAGTAAAAAAGCTTAAAAAACAAGTATATCACAAAAATATATACCTAAACTTATATGTATGGAAAACAGTTTGGATATCCCAAAAAACTAAAAGTTGAGAAAAACATCTGGTATTCCGGAAATATCCAGAAAAAAGATAATCCCTGTATATAAAATAATATTGCAGAGATTTACTTAAAACTTACTTGTGATTTAAAAATCATCCATGAACCATTTTTACTTAGTAACTTTCAGGTCCTGGACATTACCCCTGTACATTACCTGCGCCTAGGATTAGGGTTTGGTTACAAATATTAATATTAATTATCATTACTATGATTACACAGGGAGTCTATTGGAGAGACTGGTTCTACAGAGGTTATAAGACAACTCATCTTCATGATGGTGCAACTCCTTCAACTTCTAATAGTAACATACAATGAAACAACTACCAACGCCACAATAAGCACTCAATCTTTGAAAACTCTCTTCATATCAGTCGCTATTTATTTCTATAGTTGATGTATGTATTATTCTAATATAATATATCTTTGTATATATTATTAAATATTACTTTTTAAATTACATTTTTATAGATTATGATTTATTAGTTACCTTTGCTGAATACTATATTATTTGTTCAAAATTCTATTTTGCTTATAATATGTCATATTTTGAAGATCTTGAATAAATTAGCTTTAAAGTAATTAAAATTAATATAATGAAAGGGTTTGATCTCATTACTGGGCAAGTAAAGATACATGGTGTTTGGTATTTGTATGCTCCAAACGCACCAAGTGAACTTGGAGTCTACAAATTAACTAAATAGATTTAAACTCACACACCTGTATACAATGTTGTCCAGTGGGCAAGATTGAGTTCAAGTGGGTGAGGTTCAGTTTTTTTGACGCCTTGTATCGTTTAGTAGATGAATGACTAAGCAATCTAATGATACAAAATGCAGCAAAGTCTATAAACAGCCTGTCAGTAGCAATTTTAGTGCAGATATGGGAGAGGTTTGATTAAATTGCCCTAAACTAACCTGTTAACACTGTAAAAAAAAAAAAAAAAAAAAAAACAAGCCTGTAAAAAAAAAAAAAAAAACACTAAACATCAACTTTTTTAATACAGTCCTTTCATCACTTACATAAAAAAAAAATACTTTTTTTCAATTTACAAAATATAAAGATTTACCATTTATGAGACAAATTATTGTTTTCTATTCCAGGTTGCTTGTAGACTTTCTTATTTTGTTTGTTGACACTGTAGTTAGTTAAATGAATGTATTTGTCAGATAAAGTTGCAGTTCGAGCTGAGTATCTATCATAAAAAGTAAAAAGTTGTAATTGATTGTGCCATTAAAAAAATAAATAAGTGAAAATAAAAAATTTCTTACTTTCTTGTCGCAAATCTTACTAAACCATCATTAAAAATGTATACTCTTAAAGGATCAAAACATGACACATAAACATACACTCTTAAATCAAACTTGCATCCATTGATAAGGTATGGATTGATAATATATCTACATTTGAAAAAATAGTCAAAAATATTTTTAAATCAGAGTTTGCAAAAAAATATATATAAAAAAATATATAAAAATATATATAAAAATATATATAAAAAAATAAAGACCTCTGAACAACCAAAAACTGTTTCTTGGGAAGCTCTTCCCAGCTGCTTATTATTTTTATTCCTTTACCCCGAGCTGATGCAGGCTTAAATTTCAAAACATGTTAAAAATGTGACAATAAAATGCAAAATTTAAATAAAATATCAAAAACATATTTTAACATACTGGCTTTACAATCCATTTACGCTTTCTTTCCCTCCATTGTCTTCTTAACAAACATAAATCATTAGGAAGTATAAATGTTTGCGGCATAAAGTTAAAGTTCTGCATAAAAAATATATATAAATCCATTTTATAATGTTCAAAACTATATATTACCTCCTAATTTGTTTTTTTATTATTACTATCAGTAGTAGTAGTAGTAGTAGTAGTAGTAGTAGTAGTAGTAGTAGTAATAGTAGTAGTAGTAGTAGTAGTAGTAGTAGTAGTAGTAGTAGTAATAGTAGTAGCAGCAGCAGCAGCAGTAGTAGTAGTAGTAGTAGTAGTAGTAGTAGTAGTAGTAGTAGTAGTAGTAGTAGTAGTAGTAGTAGTAGTAGTAGTAGTAGTAGTAGTAATAGTAGTAGCAGCAGTAGAGGTTGTTGTAATAACAGGCCTTGTTTTAAAGCGTTTTGCGTAGACCAATTTACGTACGCATTAAATGATTTTAGGTAAGTAGTAAGCGATTTTGGTTAAGCAACTTTTTATCATTTTTCAACTTTTAAATTATTCTATAAGCAGTAAGATAAAAAAAGTTTTAAACTTTAAAAAAAGTCGCATTAACTTTTAAATGACGTTTATGTAAATATTTGTTACAAAAGTTTGAATGACAATTATGTTTGATATATGCACTTTTTACTAATGAAAAAAACTCAAATAAAATTAAAAGTTTATTTTTATTTTATTTTTTTTAAACTTAAAGAAAAGATCATAAAAACATAATTTAATTCTGACAAAAAATATGATTTAATTTAAAACTAATTTAACAAAAATATATAATTTTACTCTGATAAAAAAAAAAAAAATAATTTAATTTAGATTTTAAAAATATATAACTTAATTTTGATTTAAAAAAAAAATATTTAAGTTTATTAAAATTAAAGTTAATGCTTGGGTTTAACTTAACTTTCAAATTTATTTAAATATTACTAAATATAATTTAATACTGAAATTTTATTTGTTCTTTAAAAAAAATTATCTGTTTTTTCGGTTTTTCTTTCTAAACTAATTTTTTTTACTCAAAATTAATTTTAGATAAACGGCTGCATCAAAAATTTGCACAAAACATTAGTTAAACTTTTTTTTTATAACAAGTTAAATCGCAGCGATTATTTTTTAATAAATGATATATACAGCGATATAACTTTAATAATAAAATAATAAACTAATAAACTTTTAATAAATAAAGTAAACAAATAAACATAACTTTTTTATTTGTTACATTCTTTTTAAATAAAAAATCATTTGAAGTTGCAAAGCCGTAATTAGAAATTTAAGAAATAATTATTTTAATGAATTAAAATATGTTAAATTTAAAATTTAACATATTTTAATTTATTTATGCAAATAACAAGAAAAGAAAGAAATTTGTTAATATCAAACATTTTTAAAAATGCAATATTAAATTTAATTATTTAATATTAAAAAAAAAAAAACTAATAATAAAATATATATATAAATAATAATATTAATAACAATCCCTTAGAGTAATAATAAAAAGCTTTTCAATATTTCACTCATTTTGCGGTAATTAATATTATTGCAGTAATTTAAAAAAGTTAATATTGTTAGAAAATTAAAAAATAAAGAGAACTTTATGACATCAAATATCGCATTATTTTATTTAAAACAAGGCTTGTAGTAGTTGCAGTAGAAGTAGTAGTAATAGTAGAAGTAGTAAAAGTAGTAGTAATAGCAGCAGCAGCAGCAGCAGCAGCAGCAGCAGCAGCAGCAGCAGTAGTAGCAGCAGCAGCAGCAGTTGTAGTAGTAGAAGTAATTTTACACTCTGTAATTTTCAGCACAAATGATACAAGAATTAAAAAAAAAAAGAATTTAGCAATTTATTTGACTTGATGTTAGAATAATAATTTATTATACAATATAATAATACAAATACTTATTGACTTTATTGGTTAAATGCATTATTTTTTCATTTAACTTATTAATTACGCAAACTATAGATATTAAAGGGTCATTATGGCTTAATTTATGCAGAAAAAATAATATTCAATAACCTTTTCTCCATGTATAGTCTGAAACCTACTAAAGTTCTTCCAAAGTTTATCTTTTCTACCAATTTGAAAGGTCCCAGGAAAATGATTAACCTGTTGAGATTCAAGATGGCAAATTTAACACCTAAAAAGTATTTGTGACACTCAACACTCAATATTTTTATATATTCATATGAGTTTTTCATAAATATCTGTGAAAAGTTTGATAATATATCTATTGAATAGTTTGATAATATATCTAGTGAATCACCATATAATTAATATATTTATCATCATAAAAATGAATGCAAGTTCATTTGTCTTAATAAATCTTCAAAAACATCTTCATTGCAATTTTTCAACAAATAATCACAGTCTATTTGAAAATTTGCAGTTTACTTATGTGAAAATTTATAATCAACCTATTCAAGTAAAAGTTGTAGTGATAAAACATGGTGTTAAAAAAATTCTCATGGTGTTTTATAAAAATTTGCAGTTTACTTATGTGAAAATTTATAATCAGCCTATTCAAGTGAAAATTGTATAAAACATGGTGTTCAAAAGACTCTCATGGTGTTCAAGAAGCTCTTTATTTTTCATCAAATCTTTCACTTTTGGAAGAATTCACTCATTTTATCATTACAGTAGAGATACAATTAAAAATTATATTATTTTTTGTCTTGTGACGTATCCAAATATTATACTTCCTTGGTGTCACAACTACCATACCTTGTTAATACCACAACCATACCTTGTTAATAAAATATAAGTTATTAAAATCCATACCCAGTCTGCAAAATTACCCAGCCAAAACAAAAATTTCAATAACTGCAGTTGGAGTTGTTACTTTTTTTATTAACCTTTTACTAAAATCAAGCAAATTTTCACATAAACACATATAACTTTTTTAAAAATATTTTCAATATTGAATGGTAGCAAATTTTGATTGAAGTTTCAAGATTGACACAATTTTTCAAATTTTGTTGTAAAAAAAAAAAAAAAAAACTTGTACATAGCAATCTGAACAAACTAGAATGATAATTGGAATAATATACTAATCAATGTTATTCTTTTCTTATAATAATCATTCAGAAAATATTAAAAAAAAATAAGCAGTTAAAACAACCAGGGGTGTGGAGTTGCAAAAAAAAAGTAAGTAACTCCAACAAAAAAAAAAAAAGTAAGTAACTCCAACTGCAGTTATTGAAATTTTTTGAGCACAACTCTGACTCTAACTCCAACTCTAAACAAAATCGTGACTTCGACTTCAATAGTAAAACTTCTTGGATTTTGCTTTGGAATCGGAGTTGTACTCTGAAAATTTCAACAACTGGAGTCGGTATATATTTTTTTACACCCCTGATTAAAACGAACAAAGATGTGTACTAAAATCTAGGCTACCATCTTGTCAGGTGCTCCTAATTTTTCTTACTATATTCAATAAATTTTAATTTGTGTTCAATGTAATATAAAACTTAACTTTGGAACTAGGTCTCATTAGTATTTGTTACTTTTGCTTCTGAAAACCTCCAAGAGTAGCAAATTAATGGGTTCACTTGACAATGAAAATCTTAAGGAAGAAAGACTTTTTATTCTTTTTTTAGATAGCTAGAAATTTAAACTTGTGGAAGTTTTAACTTAATGTGATATTATGAACTACCAATGAGTAATTTACATATATACCTATTATTAATTTAATTAATATTGTTTTTATTTTAAAAAATTTTAAGGATCGTTAACATTAGGGTGTAAAATTATTGGGTATGCCAGTGCTGCCATATAACTCAATTAAAAATATTGCACCAATAAGACAACATATAAACTACTAGAAGATTGGAACTGTACAGATTATGTGGCATGCATACTTTTGGACACAACAACATCAGACATTGGGGAATAACTACTGTGTTTTGATGCAAAACATATTAAACAAGTCACTTCTTTGGTTTGCTTGGCAACATCTCAGAAGAGGTTATACTAACTCGCACATGGTATAGTTTGGAGATTAAGGTTTTAATAGGTCCCAATATCAATCTATTTGTAAGGTAATATAACATTGGTATTTGTTTTATAACAATACATTTCACATATGCTTAGATTTATTGAAGACCTCGATATCACTCAAGTTTGACAGCTTTGATATTCAAGAAAGATGCTAATCAATTTTTGTCAAGAAGAAATGAGTCACAACTTTAACAGACGGGGTAATATAGAACTCATTTAATTATTATTGCTCTATCTAAGCAGTGGGCAAATTGAGGTGAGTTCACTAGTTGTTTTGCATTGGGAAAAACTTACTAGTTGTTTTGCACAATGCAAGATGCAAGTCTAAATTGTTAAAACTATAACTATAAAACTATTAGCTGAACTATTAATAGTGTTGTTCTGAAAGATTTCAGGTACCTCACTGAGGAGTTGGTTTTTTTGATAGCAGTCTCAAGAACTAAGGCAAAGATTGCTGACAAAATACTTTCAATAAAAAATGATGTGACAGAGAGTCGAATAAATTCAAAGTAAAGAGGATTGGGGTTTGGTAAATCTAAATTCCAATGCTTGCTGTAATGGCTGTAAATGATTTGGCTAAGTTTATCGGTGAAGACTAACTGGTATTTTTTACCATATTAAACATAAACATCAGTTTTCTCAGGGAATCTTTATCTTCTCAGGATCATTGACTTTTCTAAAACAAGTCTTTGAACCTTACGTGAGGCTCCTAAAGTAATTTCACCTGTGTAGGGCAAGTATGCAGTAAGGCAATTTTTAAATACTCCGCTGGGGCGGGCCTGTTGGATAATTGCCCTTGAAAATTACAGGCCAAAGACAACTGTCTATTTTGTTTTTACAAAAGTCTTCCACTCACACATTAAATAAAAAGGTTTTAGGTCAGAGTTCACCAAATATTTTTATGGAACTTTTATCAGTGACTCTTTATGATACTGTATCTAGATGCTTAAAGATCGAAAGGTAGCCATTTTTAAAAAAATGATTTCAAACTTTTGGAAAACTTTTGTATGAAAGGGGAGGGAGTTAGAGTTATAAAGTAAAGGTTTTCCCTATAAGTCAATATTAAAACCTTCAAAATATGTTATAATTAACCCAGTATTGGCCTACATAAAGTAAGTTTATATTTAAATATTGATTATTTAAAAAATTGAATTAATTAATCATAAAATGGAATATATCTATTAGATAACTGTACACAGATATTGAATACTCAGGTTTAACATTTTTATGTAAGCCTTTAATAGTTTCGTGACTTGAATACATTTTAAGCATTTTTTCAAACAACAGCAACAAATAATTTTGTGATTCAATAGATGGCCTCATTTTTTCTTTGCTTTTTACTGAACTGTTAGATAATATATTAGACATTTTCTAACACAGTAATTTACGTTTGCTAATAACAGTAACCAAACAAATATTAGGATTTGCAACATTCTATTATACTAAATAAATAAATTACTAAATAAAGTAAAAAATACCGAAACCTTACAAATGGAACAATTTTTAACAAAGCATTAAAGAACAGCTTCTTTAAATTTTATATATATCTACAATTATAAAGAAAACGAGGCGCTTTTTAAGCACTCTCTCTGTAATTTCGTGACATGCCAATCGCATAAAGGCATAAAGGGTTGTTTAAGGAAAATTTAATAAAGGGTTATTTAAAGAAAATTTATTAAGTAAACTGATGATTCAAGGTAAACTTTAAACAAGATCTTAAAAAAAGACGATTGAAGTCAGGATTTCGAATAATTATGTTTGACAAATATTTTTGAGCATTATTTTACCAGGTATATGAGCTTCAAATGGCAATACATTTTTTTATCTTTGAGGTTTAAAAAATTCCACTTATAGTATAATTTTTTAACCTCAAATTTTTTATATTAACAGTTCAAATTTTTTATATTAACCTCAAATGTTTTATATTAACAGTTATTTATTATATTAACAGTTCTTGTTATACATTTTTCCTGCTTAACCAATGAAACTTTGGCTTGCTGCAAAATCTTAAAATATAACAGTAAAAGTTATTGCAAAAAGTTTTATCTTTTTATTTTTACTTTTTATCATCTTTAACTTAATAAAACAAGTTAAAATTTACCAGTTCAACTCGCTTGATTTTAATTCAACAGACTAACGTTTCCTTTAGTTTAAAAGTTAAAATAAATAGTTTAATAAAGAATTTAATTAACACAAATTAATATAAATTAACATAATTATTTAATTAAATCAGAAAAATAAACTTTTAATAATCCTAGCTTTTCTTTCTGCACCTTGTTTTGCTATCTTTTTCTCCTGCATTTTACATTTTATTTTTTATATTATTTTTTTATTTTTATTTGATAAGCTTTTTGAAATTTTGTTACTTTCATCTTTATACAAAAAATAATTCTGTTTTGATAACCGGGAAGAATAAATTAAGGGGGAAAGCAGGCATCAATTCAAGAATAGAAAGGGTACAAGCTAAAACAGACAACCATCAGTAAGAAATCCTTTGCTTTGGAGTGTTGCATGTGACACCTGTGATCTGGCAAAAGTTTTTCAGAAATGTACAAAAATCTGGGCTGAACTTATAATCAATGTATATATCATCCAGTAAATTTTTAACTACCTTGCAGAATAATAAGTAAATTTTTTGACAAAATTGTATACATGATGACAAATATCATCATCAATATCATATAAGGAACCCTTTTTCTTAATCTTGTTTTAAACCTACTGATTTTGACCCTCATATACTTGGTAAAATCTGATAAATTGGACTTTATTAAAAAGCATTAAAAAGACTTTTGGTAATTTAATGTACCAAGCGAAAATGACGCATTATGTTTTAAACTTTATTAGCTTTGTTGCAAAAATATGCTATGAGTATACTAAGAACCTTCTATTTTTTTTCCAAAAAGCATTCACATATGTTAACAAAATTTTTTTTATTTTCATATCAAAAACAAGCATAGAATAAAAAACTTCACCTAATCCTTCTGGCAACTTATATGAAGCAGTTTTCATTGTTTTCAAAATTTTCAAAACACAAGAATCTTTAGACATTTTATTTGCGTATTTAAAGATATTGGAAGATTATGTTCACAAATAAATGCAATTGTAGTTGCAGCTACTGCATTTGATGTCCAGTCTCAAAACTTACAATAGGTTTAATGTTAGGTTTTACTCTATTTGTGCAAATATTGCTAATATGTATATTATCCTGAAAGAGATATAGCAGGCCTTGTTTTAAAGAGTAAAGCGATGCACTATTTATGTATGCATCAAGCCATTTAATGTAAGCAGTAAGCCATTTCAGTCGAGCTACTTTTTATCAACTTTAAATATTTAAACAAGTCTGAAGAAATCATTTAAGCGGTAAGATAAAAGAAGTAACTAACTATATATACTTATGAAGTTTAAATGACTTAAATAAGTTTGCATGACAATTTCATTTGATATTTGCAATATTTACAAATGTAATAATTTAAGAAAAAACAAAGAAAATTTTATTTTAGTATTAGCCTAACCTTTCAAAAATCAAAAATGTCCAGCAAAATAAAAAAAAATGATGTTACATGACGCGCAAAAAAATCACAAAAGTTGTAACAATAAAATTTTTATTTATCATCTTGCAAGCGCAAGAATATTTATTTAGACAAATTCTCATAGCAAACAATAACAAAAATAATTACCTAATTTAAAAAAAATAAATAAATATAAAACAAAAAAATGTGAGCTAAAAAAGATTATACGTTAAAATTTATTAGCTCCACGTTGGATATTTTTATTTTTTGTTAATTTGTTTTGTTACAATGATTAATTTTATCAAAAAAAAAAAAAAAGGAAAAACATTAATTATTACAAACTTTAAGTAACATCTTATAAAGAGTTTATTTTTTATAAATAAATAAAAAACTTCTTTTATGGATAACTCTACTATTAATTTTTCAAATTAATATTTCAAGGGAGTTGAGATACCCTTGTTATCAAGAATAAATATACTTGATAACGCTATCATGTATATATTTAATAACAAGGATTAATCTAAACTCCCTCACTATATTATATTTTAAATTATTAACAGAGTTATATCTATAAAAGTTTAATTATTACAAGTATTTATACACGAAGCAATATCTCTTTCAATGTCTTAGCTTATATTTATAAGAAAAATAATAAGAGAAGTTCATGTACCTAGGGTCAGATTTTTTCAATGACCCAATTCAAGGCCCTGGGCTTGTCTAAAAATGGTGAAGCTAATATAATCACATCTTTATACTAATTAGTTTGTATTAATATAGGTATAATGACTTAAAATATAAAAATCTGTCATGTAGAAGGGTTGAAAAATTAGTGGCCCTAGGTACAATGAGCTTTTTTTTAATTGTACCTAGGACCACCAGCTATTGTACCAAGAGCCACTTTCAATATATTAGGTTTAACTCCATAATCAATAGACTACAAAGATAGTCATTTAACTTTTATTAAAAATTTGTTTAATCTAGCATTGTTCTCAAAATATTTATCTAGTGTTATATAGAATCTTAAAATTTCCAACATTTAAAAATGTTTAATGTTGCTGGTTCCATTCAAATCAAAGATTTTTAAACAAGTTTTTTTATTTTTTTTGCCTTTCTAATTTTTGTTGAATGTTGAAGTGACATAGCGTTTCTTTCTGGAGTGTCAGTGAGAATTCAACATTTAACAGGTTTTCCAAAAACACCTTTGTCTAATGGCTGAAGCTTATGGCTGGTATGTGGAGGAAAAGTAAGCACTATTATACCATTTTCTTTAGCTAAAGTAATCACTTCAATACTGACATGGTTATTTTCATGGTTATCCAATAGTAATAATACTGGCTGATCTACATAGCATTTGATATGGTGAATAAAATGTTTCAAAAACTCTAAAAAATTTTCAGCATTTAACCACCCACTTATATGTGCTGTTCCCTTATTTCCTGGAGGTGCTACTTTCAGCATATGATTTTTGAAGTTCACTCTTGGAAAAATCATCATAGGGGGTATGGAATTTCCAATTGCATACCCCCTATAATGATTTTGAAGTAACTGAAGTTCAATTGAAACTTCAGTTACTTCCTCCCAATCTCTAGCATTCTTTTTCCAATTTCTCATTGACATTTTTAATTATAAAAAATATTATTTTTATATATAAAAAAAAACAGTACATATAGATTTAATGTGGAATTTTTTTCTCCATAAGTTTTAAAATCATTAAATTAAAAGAAAAAAAAATTCAACAGATACAAAATAAAAATAAAACCCAAAATTCCCAAAAAAAAAACCACTGAGCCGGGTTTTTTTTTAAAAATTCTGGGTTTTTGCCAGCCACGAAAGACAAAAAATTAATAGGCATATATATGTATAGTAGAATAGAAGTAACCATCATTAAGACCTTTTGAAATATGCAAATTGTTCGAAATTCAATAGACTTCATATGCTTGCCCCACAATCCCAGCCAATTGGGGTTTTCTATATAAAAAAAAAATTAATCTGTTAGTACCAAATCAAATCAATATCAAAACTGAAAAATTTGAAAATTTCATTTCGCTATGAATTTTAAATTTTCATTTCACTACATATTTATTTAAAATTATTCTTTAAATACTTTAACAATTTAAAATAAACCTATTCTTGTTTTTTTTATATAAAAAAAAATATTGTCACATATAAAACTTACTTTTTGTCATTTTAAAACCAGTTCTTTTAACACAATCTCTAACAACTTTAGGTGTTATTTTGCAAAACTTCCATTTCAAAAAGTCACAAACCTCTGCAGGAAAACAACCTACTAAAAATTTTTTTTCTTTTTTTTAAATTAACCAAATAAAAGATTAAAAACATCATAATCTTCAGGAACATAATTTTTAGGTTATTATTAAACTTTTTATTAATTCTAAACTAAACTGTGAACTACAAGGTTTGCAGGTTTTTCAAACAACAACAAAAATTAACAATATAATTATTTAAAAAAAAAAAAAAAAAGTTAAAAACAAGTATAAACTGATAAAAATTGACATTATAGTCAACTGTTATATTTCTTTTTTTTCAACTAAAAACAAAAAACTATAACCAAGTATAAAACCTTTTTCTTGATCAAGCATAAAATATAAAGTAGGTGCCACATTTGAAAATAAGCTTTTTAAGAGTGGAATCTTGTGTCTTTCTTCATCAAGTTCATTTGCAGAATCTAGCAATCTTGAATGTATAGCTTCAATCTCTTGCAAAGATAAACTTGAAATATTTTCCAGTAAACTCATGTTTTCTAAAGAAACAATAAAATTAAAAATTCTAAAGAACTTTAAATAATACCTTTATTGAGCTGAATATATCAAACCTTTTTCAAAAATATATTTGTCATCTATCCCAGAATAATCTTTTTCACATGCAAAAATATTTTTGCTATCATTCATCCTTAAATAACCTGCAATATAACTGATTAAATTTGCATTTGGTAATTATCAAAACCAGAATTAGGTTTTAGACATTTCTCATTAACTGAATCAGCAATTCTTCTTTTGTAATGAAAAATGGATTTGGTTTATACAAAAAAAAACAAAAGTGCAGAACTTTTAAAGGAAAATTAAATTCATCTAACTAAGAATAAATTTGGAAAAAATAGAAAAAAATTTAATTTTTTTAAATTTAATTAACTTGCTTAAGTGGAAACAGGAGATGGTAATAATAACCAGCTCTCTTATGATTCCTGTTTATTGCGACTCTTCTTATTAAAGACATTATTTTATTTTAAATAATGCAACAACATAAAGGAAGTTTTTAACAGTTATTAGTTTTTTTTGTTTAATAAACTAATAAATTTATTAATTTAATAACTACATAAAAAAATATAAAATGTAAATTTTTGTACTTTTAATGAAATTTAAAAATTTTTAAGAATTTACAATAGTAAACTCATGGTAAATCACTTGACTTAAGGTTCAATATTCCCCTATTCTTCTGGAAGTAGCACACTTAACTTATTGCTCCACGTAGCAACCTTGTTTAAAGTTCATGTTTCAGAATTTAAGATTGAAAGAGAGTTTCAAATAAAATAAAATTAAAAACAAACAAATAAAATAAAAAATTAACAAAAAGCCTCCTTAAATGTAGTAACTTTGAAGCCTACAGGAGGGAAGAGCCTATGGAGCCTTGAGGAGGTACTTTAATAAAAAATAAATTATCATTTTTAAAAATAGAAGAAATAAGCCAACATAATTCAAGCAGTCTCACTTAAAATTTATGATTTAAGTTGTATTATTAAAAAAAAAATTGTTATTTATATAAATCGGAATAGGGAAAATATCTTAAAATTTATAGGAAATAATGTTAAGAAAAAGTGGTGATAATAAGATTGAAATCAACATAAAGAAGATTATTATGTAAGAAACGAGGAAATCATAATAAATTTATTAAATTTTGGTATTATTAATTTTTTTCTACATTTTATATTTACACAATTTTAGTAAAAATAAAAGCTTTCATTGTTTACACATTTTTTGTTTCATTAAAACTACAAATTTTACAAAAATTTTTGTGAAAGATCAATAATTGATAAATGTTCATTAAAATGAGTGCCAAAAGAAAAACAATTTCCACCACCACCAATAACAATAACTTTGTTATCACTTGTCAATATACTGCAATGATTATGAAGCATAAGTGGGTATTCAGGACTGGAGATCTATAAAAAAAAAAAAATTAAACAGCAACTTGAAGTTTTGAAACATTTTTTTAAATTTTAATTTAAACTTTGATTCACATTTTAATTTTAAAACACAACTTTATATATAAAAAAAACCAACAAATTTTTACTTACAGGTAACATCAGAGGTTGCCATACTTTTTTAGATAAATAAATGAGTATAATTGGTAGTTGATAATGTTCAGAGGGATCAACTCCACCTACAATAACTAGTAAATCATCAACAACATGTGATGTGTGAGAGTAGCTATTGAAACAAAAAGAAGAAAATATAAACACATTAAAAAAATTTCTTTTCATTCTAAAAAATATATATAAACTTTGTAACAAACTGTTTATAAGAATAATAAGCAGGGTTCCAAACAGATACCAGACATTGGTGACTCTAGGAACATTCTTAAGATCTGCCAGAGTAAGGAAACAAACCACTACTTATTTTGTCTAACTATATAAACAACAATTAGTTTCCACCTTTAAACAGATCTCAGATATTATTCAGAGCATCAATGGAAATTAATCAATGAGCCCTGCATAGAATAAGTGGGTTTCTATAATGAAACCTTTTTAGTGCTATGCCTCTGCATTACAACTGGTTGAAAAACTTTATTTTATTTATTGTTATCATTCTATAATGATGGCAATATATGTAAAAATCATTTTATTTTTTATTGTTATTATAGAATTCTATTATTGTTATAATTATACAATGATAAAAATAATGAAAATAAATTTTTTTGAATAGTTAAAATATAGTGGCAGAGCCCCTACAAGATTTCATGAACAAAATCCACCTACTCCATAAGAAGAGAAACCCATTTTTTCAACTCAACCATTCATTATAATCTAGCATAGAAGAAAAAAAAGAACCATTTTAAATAAATATTTGAAATCAAGTCAAGTGCAGTCAGGAAGGGAAAAAAAAAATTTAAAAAAATCTGACACTACATATATATAATACTCAAGTGCATTTTATTATCTTTTTAAAAGAAAAACAGTTTTTTATTTCAGTAATATTAATCATATGATAACAAAGCTAAATTCTGGGATACATTACATAAATCTGCTGATTTGTAAATCTCCACATTTTTGTTTTTAGATCAACCCTATTTTAAAACAACAAATTCTTACCGCGCAGGTAACTGTGGAACAAATTGAATCTCATCTATATAAACTTCTGATTCATCATCCTTTAATACATAAAAATTGTTTTTTTTTTAAAAAAAAAAAACTACTAATATTAAATACAATATAATAAAATTTTGCAAAATACCAATTCAATTATTAAGTTCAAGAAACTAAAAAAACTCTTTTAAGCCTTTTTTTTAGTTGTACTTTTGGTTTTTCATTTTTTAAATTCATTTATATTTACAGAAAAATTAATATATAAAAATATAAAATAGTTGAAAAAAGAAAGTAAAAATATTTAAATTAGTGTACACATGAAAAGTAGCAACCCTGAGCAGTTGTTAAAGGAAAAACTAAAAACTAAAATTTTATAAACAACTAAAAAACTATTAAATAATTAAAGTAGAAAATAAATACAAATTTAATTTGATTGCAAAAGTGGAAAATAAATACAAATTTAATTTGATTGCAAAGGTGGAAAATAAACACAAATTTCATTAACTGCTTCACAACTATAAACATTTGAAAAGTTGCATAAAGACAGAAATATGAAAATATTTTAAACAGCTATGGCATTTAAAGTAAAAATCTTTTCGAGCAGCATTAGCGCAGAGTATTTGTTATTTTACCAAAGGATTTAAAAGGATGTAAAAAACAACACAAAAACATACATGTATTATATTGGAAGCAAAATAATTATTGGCACAAAAACTTATTTTAGTATATTTTGGACATTTTGTGGGAAAAAAAGCAAAAATTCCCGAAGTTTAGGTCTAAAATTATACTTACATATGTAACACCTAAAATATTTGCACATGATATTTACACATAAAATATATATGTAACACAAAAGAAATTGATTAATTGGATAAAATGGATTATAGCAACATGCACATTGTATAACAACATTAGACAATTTCTTGATGAAAGTTGTGGATTCGGTAAATAATAATAAAACTTAAAAAGAATTTAATAAGCAGACTGGAATCTCTTTTCGAGCAGTCGGCAACATCATGTAAAAGCATAATTTGAATGGAACTACAGGTATTGCAAGAAGAGACTATAGAAAAGAAAGACATCGGCTACCATTGATCAAAATATTATTTTACAAGTCAAGCTAAACAGATTAGAAGATGCTCAAAATATAGCTAACAAAGTTTAAAATTACCACAAAATCATTATTTCAGCTCAAACTATCCAAAATAGAATCGGAGAGTAAGGATTTTACAGTGGAGGCAAAAAAAAAAACAATTTGACTCTTAGAAATATGAAATAAAGATTATTATTTGCAAAAAAAATGTGGACAAGCCAATTGAGTCTGGAAGAAAATAATCTGGAATGTTTAACCTAAATTTAGCCAGCCATATTTAAAGTGTGGAAGAAAATAACTCCATAAAAAACAAAATCTCTGGTGGAATCAACACCTCAACCTCTGCAAGCAGTTATTATGCTAAATGGTGGCCTAACTAAATTTTTTTAGAAAAAAAAAAAAAAAAACACTTACATCACATCAAAACAGATTTGCTAAACTTGCTAATCTATTTGACTCACTTTTAGAATAATTATTCACTCAAAATTTATTTTTATATTTTAGAGTAAAAAATTGCTAGTTTCTCTATATTTTGGAACAGTCTAATCAATTTTGCAGTTATGAGAACATTAAACATAAAAACTAAAAAAAAAAAATTTTGGAACTTTAATGTGCAAAGTTTCTGGGCATTAAAAGAAATAATATCCATTGACATCGTCTAGTGCACTAAAATAAATAATTACCATTGATATCATCTAGTGTACTTAATTTCCCATTATTCCAGAGCACAGAAACTGAGACTAATTTACGCTACATGCACCACATTATAGTAAATAAAATGTATACAGAATTTAATAGTTACAAATATTACCTGAATATGCAGAACATTTAAAGTATTTAGTGTTTTATTTTCATGATTTAACCCACCATACAGCAATAATTTTTGTTTCCAAATCTCCATTGAATGAGAATGACGTGGTACTAAGTCTTTCTTTAAAATTTCCTAAAATTATTATTAGAGTTATTATTTTAACATAATTTAATTAATTAACAAAATATTTTATATGCTCTTTTAAATAAGACTTTTCTAATTATGGAGAATGCATATTTTTATAAATTATACATATTTTTAATACTCCAATTGCTAATATTTATTCTTGTTATTATATTTTATACTTTTATTGTTTTAGTTTAAAAATTATATAAAAATTTTATTTAAGAAAATACCTTTTTCCATTGGTACGTTTTACTATTGAAACATACTAAATCATTAAATGTATTGCCATTGGAACAAATACCACCAAATATGTATATGTTGCCTGAAATAAATAAATCTATCAAAATAAGCATTAAATACTAGTTTTATTCATACAACTATTCACACAAACTTAAATTTTTTATTTGAAAAAGTTGAATGAGCAAGAATTAATGACACATCAATGAGTACTGCTTACAAAAGATTATTTACAACCAGTTATATCAGATAAAAATAAAGATAAATATATCAGAAATAAAGATAAATATATCAGAAATATCATCATATCAAAAATAAAGATAAATATATCAGATAAAAATAAAGAATACTTTACTTTAGATCCTGCTTGCCAAATTTGACAAATGAAATCCGAAAACTTGTATCAATTTAGAATTTTTTTTAATATTATAATACAAAAGGGTCTACGTTATTTTTTGAAGTAATGCAATGTAGCTTTTTATCCACATGGTAAGAGATCGGGGAGTATATTTAACTAGATTTCTGCATTAAATAAAAAGTTGTTAATCTAAACATAGTATGTTTTAAAAAATATAGCCTAAAAAAAATAATGATAAGGCCAAATTGTGTACTGTTTAAAACATTTTATAGTTATCTATTTATTTAAAGACTATTGCACCAATAATCTATAAGTAAAAAGGTTGTTATTTTTATTGTTTTTAATTAACTATTGGGCAAAAAAATTTATCAACTACTAATTACTAGCTCCATTCTCACAACACCAATCACTAACTTCATTATAATGTGTTCCCATGGGTCACGTGACTTTTTTAATGTTGCCATTATTAGAGGATAAAAATGTAAACAAACTATTTGCGATATTAATCTTAATAACATTTGTAATAGGTTTTTATTAAGTTTTAGTACCAATATTAATACATTATCATAATATTATTGTGGTATAATAATAAGGATTTTTTTAATTTTTAAAATTAATATCAAGTTTATTTACTATATTTACTATAAAGAAATGTCATAGTACAAAACATTAGATGTACCTTCCAAAAACAGATGTGATCACAAATCTTATACAAGGCACATTTGCTTAATTCCAGATAAAGAATTCAAAAACAATGAAGAAACACTTCCAGCTGTAACTTACATTGATTTAATAAATTATCTTCTGCTAAAATTTATTAAAATTAGCATCTGCTAAGGTTGGATCTCTTTATCATGCTCACTGCTTTCTTACTCTGAATTCTATTCTTTATTTTTATAAATCTCAAATCCATCTTTGTATGGAATACTGTTGCCATATATGGGGCAGATCTTCCAATAATGCCCTTTCTCTTTTAGACAAGGTGTAAAAACGCATTTTAAACATAGTTAGACCTGCACTTGCAGCCAACCTCCAACCATTATCACATCGTCCTAAGGTTGCTTTTCTTTCTCTTTTCTACAAATACTATAATGGGCACTGTTCTAAAGAGCTAGCGTCTCTTGTGCCATCTACTAAAATTCATTCTCGTGAACATCAGTTCTTTGGAATTCGCTTCCTTTATCTTCTTTTCTCGATTCATATAATTTGCAATATTTTAAGTCACCTGACAATCATTATTATGCCCTATAAACTTCATCTTTTTTCTTCCAGTAACTATATATATATATATATATATATATATATATATATATATATATATATATATATATATATATATCTATATATCTATATATATATATAATATATATATATATATATATATATATATATATATATATATATATATATATATATATATATATATATATCTATATATATCTATATATCTATATATATATATATATATATCTATATATATATATCTATATCTATATATCTATATCTATATCTATATCTATATCTATCTATATATATATATATATATATATATATATATATATATATATATATATATATATATATATATATATATATATATATATATATATATATATATATATATATATATATATATATATATATATATATATATCAATCTATATATATATATATATATATATATATATATATATATATATATATATATATATATATATATATATATATATATATATATATATATATAAAATAGTATTTTACAGACACCATATTTTTTCAAACATGTACATAGGTTAATCTAAAAAACAGGTCAAACTGAAAAAATATTTTAGGCTCTTAAAATAATGTCTTTTGATTAGTGCTTCCAATTGGTACAACAAAAAAAAATTAATATTATTACATTATCATTCAAAACATTGTTACTATTACCAAGGTATTATGTGATATGGTTTAGAATTATTAGCTTTGAAACTTTAAAGTTTAAAACTAGATCATAGAAGCTGTCATTCCTTTTTTTCATTTTTTAAAATTAAGAATAAGTTTTTTAGTTAAAAAAAACATTTTTTTTTTAATATTTTTTTAATTTGTTTACACAATCTTAAACATAAAATAAGTCAATATTAGTATAACTATATATCATTTTTGCTTTTAAATTATTATTTTGTTATTAAAATCTTTATTTAACAATTAATTATATTATGTTTCTACTAATTTATTATTTTTACTTATTTAAATCTATTTCTACATATTTATAATTATATTTAGTTTTTATTCAAAATAAGAGCTTATGATCGCCCTTAAGTGATACATTAATAGTATATAAACAAATTTAGATGGCATACTGTTTGTGCAAAACTAAAGAAACTGTATAAAAGACAAACTACTAAAGGTTTCTTAGTATGCTTGGTGGATATTTTGAGTAATAGAAATCATATAAAGTAAAAAAACAATAAGATTTCAATAAATCTAATGCAAAATCTGAAAAAAAAGTGAAGAAAGTGAAGCTTGGTTTTTAACTCTCAAGAGGAAAACACTCAACTCTCAAGAAGAAAACACTCACAGAAATGTGCTAATCCATAATTTATATACCTTTTAAATTTACAGCAGAATGTCTCCACCTACATTTTGGATTACTATTTTCAGAACTACAAGAACAATTAGAAAAAATTTGAATTGGTTTTAAGGTATCATTTTCTAATTTATACAATCCATATGAACAACATGGTTTTACAGGAGATAAGCGACCACCGTAAACAAAGATACTTCCATCATCTAATAAAACCATAGTATGAAACATAAGTTTGATATCAGTTTTAATAAAATTGAAATCTGCACCATTGTTTCTAACAACAAATGCACTAGATAATTTTTTGTGTCCATTATCAAAATCAACACCAAATCCACCAGTAATAAGTACAATGTCAGAACTGATTTTGACACAAGCGTGGCCAAATCGTTTAAAAAGAACAGACAATAGTGATAACCTTTCTATTGGAGCAACACAATTATTACTTTCCAAATTGTCACAGATTATCTGAGTTTTGGGAAAGGTCGATGTTGCAAAATTTAAACAAGAACCTAAAATAAAAAAATTTAAATTTAACTATTTAGAACATTTATAAAGAAATAGATTTTTTATTATAAACATGTGTGAGTATAACATAACAAATGATAAATAAATAACAAAATACTTTTTTAAATAAAGAATAAAATTTAACTCATAATAAAGGAGTCGGCAATCTTTATTTATGTTGTTCATGACAATGTTTATATATAAAGATATATATATATATATATATATATATATATATATATATATATATACATATATATATACATATATATATATAAATATATATATATATATATATATATATATATATATATGTGTATATATATATATATATATATATACATATATTTATATATACACACACACACATATATATATATAAATATATATATATATATATATATATATACATATATATATATATATATATATATATATATATATATATATACACACATATATATATATATATATATATATATATATATATATATATATATATATATATATATATATATATATATTTATATATATATATATATATATATATATGTGTGTGTGTATATATATATTTTTTAACGTAAAAACTACTATTACAGTTTTGTCTCAGTTTAGGAGGGAGAGGTATATGAGAGGAGTTATATGTGATTGTTTGTGACAGGAGAGAAGGAGTTAAAAATTAATAAATGAATGACCCCCTTAATTGCATTTACAAATTTGTTTTACCAAAACGAAAATATTAACAAAATAAGTATTATGTAATAGTAATTATAATTTATTTTGTAAGCAACTTAAACTTAATGAGAAAGCACCAGAACTTAAATAAATGTAGTTTTAACTTACATCACACAAATTTAAAATAAAAATGTGCTTTAACTAAGCATCGTTATTCAAAACTTTAAGTGTGAAAATGTAACATTTAATATTCTTACATATATTATTAAAAAAATTTTAAATTAAATTTTAGAAAAAATAAAACTTTATTATGTTTTTATTAACGCACATTACATGAAAATTGCAAAAGTTTGGTTACTTTCTTGAAATATATATTTTTACTAAGTATATATATATTTTTTACTAAGTATATATATTTTTTACTAAGTGAAATATATATTTTTTACTAAGTACTTAAATATATATATATATATATATATATATATATATATATATATATATATATATATATATATATATATAAATTACTATGCAAGCCAAAAATTTGCTAAAAAGGTTTGCTGACATCTTTTAAAGTGAAATATAAATAACAGAAATAAAGTATACTTTAAAAAAAACAACCTTGAAAACTAGAAACAAGTGCATAATGGGAACACTTTAAGTGCCATTCTTCATATTCATCAAATACATCAAGATTGCTCAAAGATAACTTTTCTTTAACATAATTTTCATAAAAAAAATTCATATCAAATCCAATAGCAACATCAAACCCAGCATATATTAGTGCATCTTTGTGCTTTGTAATTGTATCTAATACATCAATTCGTTTCAATGGTGATTGAAGTTTAGAAAAATGTTTAACCATAATTTGACCAAATGCATCATGCGGGTATACCTGTTCATAAATAGACAATTGAGAATTTTTAAATTGAAGTTGAATCCATTTCATCAGTTCTTCAGATGCCTTATAGTCTACATAACTCAAAACACATTCTGAGAAGATCAGTGTTGGAATACTAAAATCTATATTGTTTTGCTCTAACATCATTTTTAACTTTGGCAAATCAGTAAAATCACAAGGAAGAATAAAATAATCCTTGGAAACAATACAATTGTTAACACAGGCCATATCTTCTATAAGATTTTTCAACACATTGGCATTATTAATAAGAATATGCTTATGATTAACTACTTCAGGAAAATCAACTTCATAGTATCGACAATTTACTAGCAAATGTTTCCACTTTAGACGAAAAAAAGAACTATCAAAACCTGCACCAAGTGATATAATCTGTGAACTAACTTCCTGAGAAACATTTAATAAAAAGGTTTTTAATACATAGTCAATTGAGATAGCACGAATATAGTAGCCTCTGTGAATCAAAGGTGATCTTCGTTGAACTTTCTTAATAAAATACTGTAAAAATGGGTCTTCAAAATATCCAAACTGTGCCATTGATGCCTTACTAACAATGCTACTATCATTAGTCTCTTGAACTGAAACATTGTTGTTTTTGAAGTGCTTTTTTATTTAAAACCATGTTTGA